AAAAAAAAATCGACTGTCACTGGAGTGAAAAACTGTTCGTGTCTCTTCAGTGTACTCAAGCGCGTCCTTTCCACTCATATATGCGCAAAGTTATTAACAGTTATACTATCATTTCTTTGCATTGGCCCAATTATTGCATTTGCCTGTGTCGTTTACCACTCGACACAGTCTGAAATAACATATACCGTAAAACTGCAGGCTGAAAGAAGCTGCTGTGTAGTTTTCAGTCTAACCGCGTGGGAATCTGAGTTGCTAGCTCGTGTGTGCTAGCTAAGGTGTAAGTGGAAACAAACACATTATCCGACACGAGGAGATAGAAAATGCCACCAAAAGGAAAGGGTGGCAAAGGTACTAAAGGTAAACAACAAATATATGATGCTGCATGAACAAAATCGATCAAATGTCATCATATCGACGTTTATAGCATATAATGTGACTGTTACACTAATGCTTATGCTGATATGCTAGCTAGCTTGCAGTGTTTGTTGCTAACAGATTGTAAACATTGTTACACTCAGCTGTATTTCTGTCGATTTTGTCTCGTTTTTCACAATTAATGAAACATTTCTGGCTGTTTTGTCTTAACTAAATGTGTTGAAATGCGTGAGGAATGTGGCCAAATGTGTGATTCGCTTAATGTGGTTATTTCAAAACGCTTGATAAATCAAGTGTAGCTGCATACAAATGGCTGGGTATTCTCTTAGTTGCATAGTTGTAAGATGTTAACACACATTTGTATTTGGACAGGGGCAGCTGCTTCAGGCGGTGGAGACAGTGATAAGAAGGAGAAGGCTCAGAAAGGAGGGACAGCTGTAAAGGTAAACATCTGTATACTGTATTCTGTAGCTGCATAAAAAAGTGTTACTCACAAATACTGTGCATTTTAACTGAATTATATATATATTAATTAAATTATAGTAGTGACAGAATGATTGTAAAATAACACTGGTATACTGTTACATACTGTTATATATTGTATACTGTTACGGAATTTAAAGTTCTTTGAATAACATCAACTTCATTGATTCTAAGTTCATGTGATAATATGAATATTCAATTATTTAGGTAGTTCATAACTGTTTAGATATGTTTAAATGTTCATTTATGAAGGTGTGTATAGTATACATCACATTGATACATGAAATTAGACTAACATTTTCACATTTGACATTTTAACAGCCTGTGTTGGCACTTTCTATTTTTGCTTTAAATTGACCATCTTGTGTAATTTTTCATATAGTACAATATGCAAATGATTGTACTATTCAACAAAGTCTCTAGCACCTTTAAAGGGGTCATATGACGTTGATAAAAAGAGCATTATGTTGTGTATTTGGTGTAATGCAATGTGTTTATGCAGTTTAAGGTTAAAAAAACACATTGTTTTCCACTTAATGTACATTATTTTTTTTCTCCTCTATGCCCTGCCTTTCTGAAACGCGTCGATTTTTATAAAGCTCATCAGTCTGAAAAGCGAAGTGTGCTCTAATTGGCCAGCTATCCAGTGTGTTGTGATTGGCCGAATACCTCAAGCGTGTGACGGAAATGTTACGCCCCTTACCATACTTTGATGTCCTGTCCGGTCAGAGCGACGAGACAAAAACATTAAAACCCATTACAAACGAGGCATTTGTTGCATCCAGTGGAGACATAATTACTGATTATAATGACTTATACTGTCTTTTTACGCGTTGCGTATCGTGCCGCGTACACATAAAACCATGTCTGCATTTGTGATCAGAGAAACGACAAACAACAAGCGCTACTCTACACTGCTCAAAACTCGCATTTGAATCATCAGTGGCAAATTTTTTAAATATAAAAAACGTACTTACAGGCTGTGAGTCCGAAGCGCCAGACTGTCCTTGCAAAGTTGGAACTGCCCCACTTTATAGAACAGCCTTTGAGCACAGACTCATTGTAGGCTATGCAGAACTGCAGGTTCAGGAAACAGTCCTCCATAAAATGCGTCACACACTGCGGGCTAGAGTGAGCGGCGGCCGGCGGGCTTGAGAACGGTACGGCCCGGCGGATTCGACAAAGGAGCGGCCTGCGGGCTTGCGGCAACCACATGTGACGACCCCGGGCTGGACTCCGCTTCGTCCACGGTGAAAGCCGATCCGGCGAACCGCAGCAAGAAGTTGATGTATTTCCTCAGCGACCAGCACAGATCGGCTCTAGGCATGACGAAGCGGATATCATCCTCTTTTGGAAGGCCAAACAAAGTAGTTTGCTTTCACAACGAAACACGCAGCATCTCCACAACATGGCGGCCGTGTAAAAACAGCTCAGCTGAGCAGTCTCACAGAAAATGCTTTGTCCCAGCCCTGTCCAGAATGAGAGAGCTGTGTACTGTATGTATATATCTTGGCAGACTCTTTTATCCGAAGCGTCTTCTATTGAATTCAAGGTAGACATTTTTGTCAGTTCTTGCATTCCCTGGAAACCGAACTCATGGCATTGCTATGGTCTATTGTTTGAGGAATATGTATTGTGGATACTTTGTCTGTGATCCACTTAGGCCCCCAAACTCTTGATTTTAGTGATGTTTACTTAGAATGCAGCCTGAGGACTCTGTATGACTACCTGCATAAGTCAGCTTGATAGTGAACTCTACCTCAGGAGGGCATCACAATGGCACTGAAATATTCTATTTTGAGTCCGAGAGACTTCTATTCTGTTTCCATGAAGCATAGCAGTGGCACTGGTGTCCAGTTACGGTGATTTAAAGACGGTTCTATTCAGAAGAGATGTCTAGTTTTGAAAAATAGGTTCGGTTTGTTTGTGGTTAGGGTTAGTGTGTCAAGGCTTTGACTGAGTTGACCTCTGGCTGTCAGTGGAGGTCACAAAGGACCTTTTTATCCACAGGCTTCTGGGGAAAAACAGGGCCTCAGGAGAAATAATGATCTCCCAGAGGGGTGTTTATCTGCATCCATCTTTAAAATCACGTTCAAAGGGATTATTTGAAGAGTAGATTGGAGAGGCAGAAAGGGTCTGGTGGTTGAGGGTATGGATTTCTGCTTGACTTTGTGTTGAATGCTAAAACGAAGATTCGACAAAGGAGCGGGCGTGCGGCAACCACATGTGACGACCTGTGCTGGACTCCGCTTCGTCCACGGTGAAAGCCGATCCGGCGAACCGCAGCAAGAAGTTGATGTATTTCCTCAGCGACCAGCACAGATCGGCTCTAGGCATGACGAAGCGGATATCATCCTCTTTTGGAAGGCCAAACAAAGTAGTTTGCTTTCACAACGAAACACGCAGCATCTCCACAACATGGCGGCCGTGGCAACAACAATACTACAGCGAGAATAAAACTTACGCCTTCTTTCTCTGCGTGAACATTTGGGTGGTGTTATGCCAATCTACCCACACAGTGACGTAGACATGTGGGGGCGTGTTTAAACGAGGCGTTTTAGGAGGGCGTGGACAAGTCTTAACTTTTATAAAGAATATCTCTTTGGATTTGAGACTTTAGTCTTTGCAACTTTACAGATCTTCTGTAAAGAGCTTGTAGCACTCCAAACAGAAAGGAAAAATTTAAATCGCATCATATGACCCCTTTAAATTAATGATATGAAGTCACTTTCAAACCCCCATTTAAATGAATAATATTTTTGTTGATTATGTATCACTCCCCTTTTTTGGCCTATTTTCTGATAGGTTCGGCATATTCTGTGTGAAAAGCATGGTAAGTGTATGGAAGCAATGGAGAAGCTCAAGTCTGGCATGCGCTTCAGTGAGGTGGCAGCACAATACAGTGAGGACAAAGCCAGGCAAGGAGTAAGACATTTTTCATGTATAAAAACAGTGGATTAGTAGCAGTAATGTGACCTGCATGATGTGGAGTTTAAAAAATCCTATAGTTCCTATGGGTACTATTTGTTTTTTACCAGCAGATGGCATTCAATGCGTTTTCCATGCCAGAAAATCCCTCAGAATCTAATTTGCATAGAATACTGAGCCCATATTATTCTATGGAATTTCAATAACACGAACGTACAGCCTTTCTGTATCATTTTGGTTTAAAATAAGTTATATAAAAGAATACATGTTTGTAATAATAATAATATAAGAAGTGTTTATCAGTATTGAATTATCTTTTTTTTTTTTGAGCTGTATATACCTTTAATTTTACAGTTTTGATTCAAGTATGTTTCAGTACTATTCATTCTGTAATTTTTTATTCAAATTATGCTTTTTTTAAGTATCAAGACAACCTTAACAACAGCTTGTATAGTTGTAAAGTTGTGATTTGCATACAGGGTGACCTTGGCTGGATGACAAGAGGATCAATGGTGGGACCATTTCAGGATGCAGCGTTTGCACTACCCATCAGCACTATGGACAAACCTGTATACACCGATCCTCCCGTGAAAACAAAGTTTGGTTATCACATCATCATGGTTGAAGGCAAAAAATAAATGGACTGAACAGCTTGATGTTGTGGTAACATTCCAATTGGTTAATCTACAACACAGCATTTACAACATAGCATAGTCATGAAAGATAGCTTTTTTATATATATATATCACCATGTAAATAGCAGCCAATAAAAACTGATCTTAAGGAGCAAACAGTTTTGATGAATTTGTCTCAGTGTTGGGTGTTTTTTCCCCCAGTAAGCTTCATATTTCCAGTAAGCCTTCCGTCACTTACACTACTGATGCTTTCCATATGCAACATAAGTATGTATATTTTTCAAACTACAAAACAAGAATATTCTGTTAATATTACATCCTGAATTATATTATCCTGAAACACTAACAATACTTTTTCTTCACTGCCTAAAGTCTAGAATATGATTTGGATTTTGCGATTATTTGCTTATTGGTTTGTGAAACTACAGAACAAGAAATGTGTCTTTTAAAGTGTATTATTAATCATATTAACATTAGAACAATTATAGCCGTGACCTGAAGTGCACCAGCAGTAACAGGAAGTCAATGATGCGCTTTCGCTTAATTGTCTAGCGCTTATTGGCTGAAAAATATGGAGTCAGATGACGCAATGTTTCCGGGTGTAACAGCACGCGCCGGCCGGGGTAACTGTCGGTCATTGCGCTTGGCAGCGAGAGAGAGAGAGAGACTGAAACACAAACCGGCTCTGGAGGTAAGGGACTAAAAGCCGGTAAGAGAATTTTCTAGCCAGCTAACTTACTCCTGTAAACTGAACACCTCAGTAATACTTAACGAGGGGATTGGTTTTTTCATTTTTTTTCTTGTTTACTGCGACAACTTTACAGATGGCTGAGGTAAAGGGAACGCTAGCTTGCTAACGACGGGCAGTTTCATCAAATCTGAATATTACACGTCATTACTGGGTCTGAATGAAGATTAAAGTCTGTACATAGAGTTTTAATACATGATGATTCAATGTGAGGCTAGGTGATGGACAAGCATGTCTTGGCATCCCTCATGATGATGATGCTGCTGCGTTTGACGTTTCGCATCCGACAAAAAAGAGCGCCATCATCATCATCTTCATCACATTCAAAAGGTCAGACTAGGCGGAATAAAGAGCTTTAGCGGATTCCATTAATCAAAAACAATCGTGTTCCATTTATTAAACCGAGCCGTTTCCACGGTGATGAACGGAGCACGTGTAGCTGCGTCTCTGAGATTCTGGAGATGAGATCGCGCCCAAAATTGATGCTACTATATTTTATATATCTTCGAGGTCGGAAAACCTTTTAATCGAAAACTAGTAGATAAAGTACCTTTTATGTTTTTATGATATTTCTTACTTAATCTGTGCGTTAAATCGTTTCAAACTAAAGGTTGACTAGACATCATCAATGAATTATGCTAATATTTGTATAGGAGTTGTAATCACAGCCACTCAACAGCAGTATTGATGTGTACTTTGAAGTGTACATTCAGGTCAACTTGTCATAAGGTGTCCTTCTATTAAAGGGATAGTTCACCCAAAAATGAACATGTGATGTTTATCTGCGTACCCCCAGGGCATCCAAGATGTAGGTGACTTTGTTTCTTCAGTAGAACACAAATTATGATTTTTAACTCCAGCCGTTGCAGTCTGTCAGTCGTATAATGCATGGCAGTGGTAACAAAATCTATGAGAGTAAAAAAAACATGCACAGACAAATCCAAATTAAACCCTGCGGCTCGTAACGGCACATTGCGAGAAACCGAACAGTATTTATATAAAAAAAAATTTTTACCTCTTATACACCACTATGTCCAACTTCCTTGAGCGTGCACACGGCATCCGATGCGTGAGGTGTGTACGCGCTCTGGCGTAGTTTACGCAAG